GTTCATTCATCTTATCGCGTAAGTTGCCAATAATTTTGCTCTGGATTTTGTCGCTGCTCATTTGCAGTAAAAAAGTATATATATGTATATATACATATTTACATAAATATATAGACTGTATACAGTAGTTATTGCCCTAGTCCGCACATTGGGGCATCCAGCAAATTGTATTGATTTTAGCTTCGGCAAAATTTTACGAGCCAAGCCAGGCAGCTAAGGTTATGTTTCGATTATGCTTCCTTTTTTCAGGTTGTTAACTGCTCGCTCGCACAATGTTTGCTTGGCTATCAAGCATGGCTTGTAGTTGTTTCGCCCTAAACAACGAAAATATATCAAAGCTAAGTGCTTTGGCCCACAAAAAATGTTGACAATGTGAATATATTAAGAATGTTTTTCCTTTAAATGCACTTCAAGCGTTTTTTGTTTTAGGTTGTGTCTCGAGAGCTCAAAGAGAATAAAGGTGAAATACCACTTGGCATATTACTTGAGGTAAAATGTAGGAATTGCAGCGATTTGACTTTAAATCCATTGAAGCTCTATAATGGATTATTTTTATCTCTTTGTCTCCTTTTTTTTAATATATGTCAAAGTTGTATGTATTAAAAATTGATGGTATTTACTAATGATTAATTAACGATTAATTAATACCAATTTATAGCGAGTAAGCGAAGCCGAGGGATTTCCTTTGCACCTATCCTTCACATCTAGGTATTCCTTATAATACTTTATATCTTTGGTATTCCTTAGACTTTTTAATTGCATCAAGGGCTCATAATTTGCTGGCGGTAACTTGTTGCGGCATTTACCTCTTTACACTTTACTTACTTTACTTTACACAACTCAACTGACAAACACCTGAAGATCCCTTTCAACCCTTGCGCCATAGAAAATAAAATGCATTTTTATTTTGTTTTCCATATAACGTTACAGATTCTTTATTTAGTTTCTTTTTCTTTTTTTGTTGTTTTGTTCACTTTTCATTTTTTTTTTATGCATTTTGTTGCTTTTATAATAATTTTCGTTTAATATAATTGCAGTTGTTGTTTGTATAAATGTGTGTATGTATGTGTGTGTGTGTCTTTGTATATATATGTATGTGTGTGAGTGTATAATTTGCCTTAACTTAAGATTTCCCACGCGCTCGACTGCCGCCGGCTCTTACATAATTTCCCACAATTTTTCGTAATTTTCAACTGGTTTTTCCATCTGTTTTCCATGTAGTTTTCGCATTGCAATCGCCAAGGGAATTGTTTGCGTTTTGCAATTTGCTCGCCTTGCATTTTAGTTTGCTTTTTTTTTTCTTTAAATATTACTCGTAATTTATTCATAAATTTTTTTTCTTGTTAATACTAGTTGCCATTTTGTTAATTTTAATGTTCTTGTTTTTTTTTTCTTTTATTATTATTACTTTTACTGTATATTTAAGTGATTTTACATAATAATGTACTTATATGCAAATTTTTATCTAAAACTGCATTTGAAATCGGTTTTTCGGTTTTTCTGTGTATTTCTATTTTTTCTGGTTTTCCATTTCATTTGACTCAATGGGAAGAATGCGCTTTAAATAGAATTGTGGCTGTTGTTGTTGTTGTTGGTAAAAAATGCATACATTATAAATACATAGTTATCAAATAGTATGATGCTTCGCATGTGAATGTGTATGTGTGTGTGTGTCTGTGTGTGTGTGTGTGTGTGTGTGTGAATATATCTGGGTGTTTTTTTTTATATGAATGCTAGGGCTGTGTTTATTAATTATGTATGTATGTGTGTATGTATATGCCTCTAACTTACGTTACAAAATATATAACAAATATCGTGTAAATGATTATATAATGTATTTTGCGCTCTACCAAGAACTTCTTATATTTTTTTGCTGCTCTCAATATAAAATATTTGATAACTATTTTGGTTTTCGACTGCAATTTGTTACATAATTATAAAATAGAATTTTTATATTTATTTATAATTAAATTACTTATGCAAAAGTCTGTAAATAGTCAAACCGAAAACTCCTTTTTGCCGAAATAAGCAAATTATAATTAAAGTTAATTTTCGTTGAATTTCCATTTACTTTTACTTTGCTGAAGTCTTTTCGAAAATAATATTGTTAAATTGGCAGTGTTTTCATAAATTTGTTAAAAGTGTTTACATTTGGTTGCTGTACCGTGATGCGTTTTGTTTTTTATTTTTATTTTTTTGCAAAATATATTTATGTAGCCCCGAAGTCGAATAGAAAATACTCTTTTACCTCTTGTTGCTGTAGCTAGATTTTTTTATTGATTTTTTTTTTTTTTTTTATCGTTTTTCATTATTTTGTATATACTTTTGTAACAGTTAATGTGCTTTAAAAATTGTCTTGAATTTGAAACAAGTACAGCAAAGTGTTTATTTGTAGTTATTTTGTTTTCTTCATTATTTTTATTAAATATTTTGTTTTGTTTTCTTTAATATTTCTTTCGCTGTATGGTTTAACAATTACGTTAAAATCTTTGCACTTTTCAATAGTCAACTCGAGTTGCAGTATGTTTTCTTATTTTTGTGTATATATTTTTTTCTTTTGTTTTCTGATAAATAAATTCAAAACAAAAATGTTTAGGAATTCGGGCAGTTTGCCTGGAAAACGCTATGATTCATGCATGCACATGTTTTGTTTTTTCGCAGTGTAATTTTATAATAATTATTATTTTTTCTGTACTTACGGTTCAATTGCTAAACTTGGCTGACTCATTAATGCAAAAACGGAATGGAAAGAAAATAATAACACATGAAAATCAACAAAGATTTGGCTTTCCGATTGGCTAGCTTTATCTGTTCAATTCTCTCGTCTATGGATAATCAACTACATGGTATATGCTATATATGCGATCAAATGAAACAATAAACAGTTGGACTATTATTGTTATGATTATTTTAAATTGCACTGTGGAGAAAGAAAAACCTAAAAAAGAACTTGTATAAAATATAAAAAAATAAAAAACAAAAAACATTTTTGTGTACAATTTTCGTTTACTCTCTGTATTTTGTCGTGTGGAAAAAGTTTAGTTTTAAATGCAGTTGGTTTTCATTAATTTTTATTCTTTTTTGTACGAGTAGTATATTTGTATATATTTATATGAAATGTGTTTGCTTTTGCTTTATATATATATAAGTGTATATATATTTCTGCTCGAATGCTGTCTGCTATCCGCTGCCCTCCTCTTGAATCGTTTTCTAGTTTAAATGACTTAATAAGACTTTTTTAGGTTCTGCTACCAATTTCGTATGCTTTTAATTAATTTTTCTTTTTTTCAGTTGTTACGTGCTAAAAACTAATAATATATACAATGTAAAATACTTGCTTTATCATTATACGATTTTCTTATAAATTTCTTTTCTTTTCTTCTTTTAAGTATTTCCATTTAATTATATCAATTGCGCTAAGTTCGTCTAAAGGTAAATTTTCTTTTTCTTTTAATTGTCTTCAGCTGCTGCTCGACACGATTTTCGTTTTTCATTTTAGCTTAAGTTTCTTCTGTTTTTTTTTTTTTTTTTTAGAATATCATTTAGGAGTATTTTCTTCATGAGATGTGTTTTTGTCTTTAAAGAAACGGGCCTATCCAAATACTATTCAATTTAGTTTTTCTCTTTTAGTATTTTTCCCGTCAAATTCCAGTTAAAATTGTGTTTTTTTTTTCTTTAAATTTATTTATAAATGTATTCTTTGTTTTGTTTTGTTTTGTGTATATATGTACTTGTTATGATGGAACGAAAACAGTCTTTGGGTATTCCTTTATGTAAATTTTAATTATGTTCTTTAATTGTAAAATCTTATAAAGTTAGTCGAACTCAAAAACCATATAATACTCACTGCTTAAATCAACTTAAGGAATAAACTTGACTTGTTTTTTAGTCAAAAAAGTGAAAAACTAAAAAATTTAAATTATTTATATAGATTACTTAAAATACAAATTATAATCATAATTATATATATCGCAAAACCTAAAAAATAATATGCACAACAAATATATATAAAAAATTTTCATATTTCATTTATCATTTTCACACAAAATAAAGTTTTCTTATCTTTTTTTTCGGCCTAAACTAAACTTTGGTATGGCTCTGCTCAAATACTCAGATTCTTTAAAAATTTCTCAAAAAATTCTTGCAACCGAATTTTTAGGGTTTCTTTCACACTTTATCTTTTTCTTTCTCTCTCTACACACACTTAATAAATTAATTATAATAATTGTTAAATTTAAATGCTGATGAAGTATTTTTTACAAATGTCATTTCACGTGTCAAATGTGTTTGATTTAGTTTTTTTTTTCTCTATCATTTATGTGTTTTTCTCTTCTGTTTAATCTCTTGAATTGTTTAGTTTTTCGATTAGCTTAGGTTTTCTTTTTAGTTTTCTTTTTGCCATGCTTCTTTGGTTGCGCTTCTTTGTGTTGTTTCGAGTTGAGCTGGAAAATCGTTTCGCTCTCTGATTTTGCCTAACCTCAATAGTAGAATTTTTAAATGCAACTTTTGTGGCTATATTCAACTGCGTCTGCCTCACGCATCTCGTGATCTTCCGCTTTGCCTCGCTTCTCTTTCTACTTTATGGCTGGAGACTTACAATTCGAGCTCGGTATTATGTGGATTGGGCGCTTCGGGGCCATACATATTGGCCAGCTTGTCGAAGCGCGGACCCCAGGCGCCGAGGTAGTCGTACTCCTGCTGCTCATCGTCGGTGCCTGCAAGGAATATAACAGAAAATACATAGTGTTATACGCGGAAATGCGAATAAATGTCACGGATATGATATATGATATATAAATTAAATTATGTAATATTTTTTTGGTATTTTTCTGGTATTTACTTAATTTTACACCCAATATTCAGCGGTTCGTGACCCGTGCTGCCATGCTGCAAATGTCAGAAAAACAATATAATTTAAATCAAAGACGAGTTCTGCTAACATCTTGAACTACTTTGTGTAGCATACATTGTTGGGGATACGTCAAGCACATCAGCTACAATGCGTTTGTTGTTGTGGCATTTGCCGCCTAATATTGGGTGCAAAATCTAGTCATGGTGAGCTGTTATAAATGCTAATCGTATAATCTATATATACATGTATGTATGTATGCCGTTAAGTGTTAACCCACCTGAGGCCAATGAGCTAAGCGAACCGGCTGTGCTGCCGCCGCCCTCATACGCATAATTGCGCAAATCATCGAAGGGCGGGGCATTCGGATCGCCATCGGCACGCTTTTTATGCTCCTCAATGAAGATGCCCACATTGGGCTCCTGGCCGGGCATAAGCGTCATCACGGGATCTGTAATAAAATGTGGAAAAACAAAATTTGGTATTTAATAAAATTATAAAATAAAATATTACAGTGAGTATTATTTTTTCGGAAATAAAAACTAAGGCATATAACAGTATAGAATAAAGTTTCAATTTCAGCTTGATCAAAAGTGTTTAATGAAACAAATTTGGAAGTTTCGTTAAGCAGTTGTAAATAAAATTACAATGCAGATGACAATTTAGTTAATATTTTGTAGTAGATCAGAAAAGTTATTTTTAAGTTCTCTCCTCCTCTATTCAAATTAAGTGAAAACTTTAAATTTCAAACAGCTATCTGTTATACGCATCAGCAGCTTCAATTGGAGAGAATTTACACTTTTAATTCGAAATTTCAATCAGCTGAAAAGCTTGCGGCATTTTATGTTGATTTATATTTTGGGGTTTTTTTCTTCTTCAAAAGATTTCATTCAGGTCTCAGCACTTGCGTTAATGGATATTAAAAATACTTACACATAATTGGCATTTTCATGGGCGCCAGTTCGGGCGGCATGGGTCCGCCAATTGGTATCTGCAGTGGCGTTATATCAAAGGCGGTCATATCATCCTCGCCGCCGCCCTCATCGTCATAGTTGATAATATTCTCGCGGACATCGTCGTCGGGTCCGGGATATTTGATATGCGCCTCGCGCCGCCGATTGTAGACCACAAATACGAGAACGAGTACTGTGCGAATAGGCCAAAATATTCTCATTAGATACAAGTTTATGCCAACATTTTAATACCTAGCTATATGGAATGCAACAACAATTTGTGCAGCGACTAAATTAAAGACTAATTTATGAATATTATTTGGGGCATGCAAAGTGAGTCGCTTAAATGCCAAGCTGAACTTAAGCAATTTTGCGGGAAAATATTTCGAATAAAATTTGCGCTCCTTGCGCGCTTTACAATTGCAAAAAAGGTTCTTAATTAAATTCTTGGAATAAAAATAAAAAATGGAAAATAAATAGAAACGCAAGGAATGGCAAAAAAAATGTGCAATAAGCAATATAGGTATATATATGTATATATATTTATGTTTATATATGTGTATAGAAATATACTTATATATGCGCGCTTTTTATAAAAAATAAAAGAAAATGGTAAAGAGGAAAAAAACGGATGTAAAAGTGTATAATATGCTGAATGCCAAAGCTCGTAT